CACTAGGATCGACACGCCGAAGGGCTGGGAGGCAAATGCCAAGGCCCGGAGGCCATTCGATCCATCAGAAGTGCAATCGCGGAGCCTTAAGTACTCGCTAAACAAACAATCAAAGCATTACGTAGCCCTCTCCACTTTTGAATGTCGTCCTCAGCGCTAGTCTTCTTCATTCGCCTGCGTCGGCTATTACACCGTGGTTGATGCCTTACAGATAAAAATACGAACCATTCACATAAGTAACCGAATTCTCATGCAACTAAAAAGAAATTTGACCGCATCTTCACTGATCCCTTCTGGCAGTTCCAGTGGATCTGCAGTTTCTTCCTGTTCGGTAACTGCATTGAAAAAAGGGGAAATGTGCAGGCTATTACGTATGTCAGTCACCAGTATCAGAAATGAGGTTTAAAATAGTTTCGCGGAGACAAGGCCTGGTGTTCATTTCTCTTTGGCACATCGTTCTTTCCTCACTGCCACCCAGCCACATCTGCCTGGATTATATCCGACTAGTAACTTGTGGCTGCTCAGTTTTCTGTAAATTAGACTCCTCGGAAGTGTAACAATAACTTTTGAATAAAAATGTGTGTTCCGAATCTAACTTCTATATACACAAGCCATTATTTACGTGCAGCGAGCCTGAAGGTCTGTAGACACGACTAAAAGGCCATTCTAGTGAGACACATGTATTAAAGGTATAGAGTGAAGAACCTGCACGTTTACTAATATTTTGTTGTATGATAATCGAGAGGAGGCATAAACTTGTAGCAAAGGGTGTTTGACATGGCAAATAACTTTCACGGTCTGTTGATGAAAGAAAACTCAGTGAATGCGGAGAGTGAGGATGAAGGAAGGTCTTCTGTTCCACCTCCTACTCACAGCTTTAGCAGCAGCGTTGGTTGGGAAAAAGAAAGCACATTTGGGTGTCTTCTCTAAGGGGATTAGATAATCTTCCCTTGCGACTAACCCTTTTGGCCTTTCTGCTCCATATACTCGACGGATTCCGTTCAGTGGATACCTGCTTCCAGAGGTCAATAGACCAGAGTTGATGGAATGGTAATGGGTGAAGTCAATTTATCGCTAAGTTTGCAAATAAATACTGTTCGCTTTTTAGGTACAGGACTTCATCTGGTAAATTTGATGCTCGTGCGCTTTTGCTAAAAAGAAGTCATCCCATTTAATCGCTCCATACAGTAAAAAGTTAATTAACCATACTGTCTTAAGCAAGGTGGGTGTGGGGTTTGCAGCTTCATCCCTCGTCCGGTTAATTTGTCTACAAAAGCCCTTCCCCTTACCATTTTCCTTACCTATTCAATTTGTTCGAGGGATCAAACAACGCTGGTGATGATTTTCTCGTTAATTTTTTGGTGAGTATATTCACATTTACTGTAGCCTTTTTCATATCGCATTTATCGCTATATTCAAGAATTGCAGATGCAATTTGTGTTTTGCGTTCGTGGCACCACCTTGTAACCTATAATTGTATAAACGCTCGGAT